GAGGATTACTACATGCCAAGACCAAAGATATCGCATAAGAGTCAACAAAACCAAACAGAAAATGGTCAACATGTATACACTGTGAATATTTTTGGTTTTATAAATGACTATCAATAAGGTCCAGCTAGGGTCACTACTGTCCAGTTAAATTCTACACTTATGTACTTCTTCCCCCAAACAACGCATGTGCACAAGAATTAAAAACTTGTTTAAATTGGTTTTAATTACAGTTAAGATGAAAATCATCTGGTGGAGAGTGTATTTTCAGGCCTAACCTTAGTTAACTCTACCATTTAGAAAAGTACTTAGACACAAAACAGGTGGATGCCACAGCCTTCACATTTCACTGTACAATGCTCTTGGTCAATGGTTCTCAAACTGTATTGTGGGTAAAAACCACATACAGGACCCCATCCCAGAGTGTCTCACTCCATCAGTCTGTGATGGGGTTAGCATTTTAACAGTTCATTAGTGCTGCTGCTCAGGGAACCACATTTTGAGAACTACTACTCTAGGTTAAGAATTTGCCATTAGATGTTTTCTTATAAATGACCTTTCCTTACAAATGATTTTATTTAGTTTCAGAACAGAATTATGGTAATCAAAATTTTAATTTAATTGAAATTTAAAAATTATTAATACAGTGTAAAGAATGAAAACCAAAAGCTATATTTTAAATTAATCTATGTATAGGGCCACAATTTAGCCAAACAACAAACTTCATCTGAAAACTTTGTAAAAATTTTTTAGTATCATGTCTCAGAACCTAGTACAGTACTCATTTTCAACAACCACTTTGTTGGCATTTCATTTAGCCCACATGAAAAAGACTAAAATGCAATATGGCAATTTGAAAATAAAACTGAATATCTTGGTACTGTATCCATTGCAGTTTAGATTGGTAATTTTTACAGTTTTATATTAGTTTAAGCTACATATTGAAATCTCCCAATCTTCTTTCACTGCTTATACCACCCCAGACTTTATGTTTTATTCTTAACTGACACTCACGAATAGCAAGGTACTAGTGCTGATAGATGTGGATGTTCTCAATATAAAGCCAACAGATTTTGTCACTATCAGTAGGAAAATCATGCAGAAGCTGTCAGTCATATTTCATACAGTCGGGGAGATTATATTGTCAAGGTGACAATATACACCTGTATACACCTATGACAAAACTCAAAAAGAGACTGATTAACAGAGAGTATGGTTTGTACTCTGACTACCTTGGAAATCATCCCATTCCTGCACAAATATGAAATTGGTGATTTAATAGGTTTTTCACTTTTCTAATAACTCTTACCTGTTCATTGTCAACAAAATAAATATATTAGAAACTCTTTTAATTCAACTAATCTGAAAGTACAATAATTATATTCTGTTATGTATTAGTAGTCGTATCTAATATTGTATTATTTCTTTACTATCACCATAACATACTTCTGGGGTGTTATATTGAAAGACAGGCTCAAAGTCAATTCAGATGTTTCCCCTTGTAGTCTTAAAATGGAGAAGTGCAATATAAATATTTTTGTGTATTTATAATAACAAACATGTATGAAGAAAAATAACTAGGTTCAGAATGCTTGGAGACATGTCTCTATTACTAATACAGTCTATTTACCAGAATATAGTTAAAGTATCCTTAAAATTGTTGCTACAATTCTAAAATTGTCTCCACAAGCCCTTCATGGAAAATAATGGAAGGCTAGATTAATGGTTATGTGGATGCACTCTAATGTCTAAAAAGATTTTAGAAAATATGCCATTTAATGAGTTACAAAGAATATCAGTATAATAGAAATCATTCAATAAATACTTATTATTATACAGTTGTTTTTCTATATATCTCATACTTTTTCCTTTAGAGCAAATCTAAGTAGGGCCAGTTAAAGATGTACCTCAAACATGCTTTAAAGAGTTGTATGTGCAGCATTTTTTTTAATACCAAATTCAACATTTAGTGTGATGTGGTATATTTAAATATTTAGAGTAAGTACTGTCTACAAATCCATGGCAAGCATTTGTTTCATTAAAAGGCAATATAAAGTCATATTTGTCTCCTAAGGTACAAAAACATGTGTTGACAATTCATTCCAAGAATAGAGTGTACAAATGAATAGAGTGTACAAATGTTTTATATCAAAACAGACTGGCCCTGCACTTGGGAACAACAAATTCAACCACTTTGCAATATCCAAATCTATTTCAAATCAAACTTATATTCCTTCATATCTTTTGTTCTTTTCTATAATTCCAAGAGATTTGCATCTTATATTTCATATTCTCATCCATAAGCTACTAATCCTATTTATCCTGTAAGATCAAGACCAAGCAAATCCACCTAACTCTGAAGCCTTTTCAAACAAAACCCAGTATGAAATGTTATTATCATGCTCTGAACTCCCACAGTCCTCATTAGACATGCAATCTCTTATTGTCATGAGTTGTTAAGTCTGTTCAAGCATGAGCATCAGATTCCCCCCAAACAGAGAGTAAGCTTCTGAAGGGCTGAGAGCTACCAAGTCCTGTTCTCTACAATGCCTAGAAAGTACATTGCACATAACAGGTCATCTATTGCGAGTGCTACGCTGAATAATAAAATGCAATAAAGTGTTGGACGATTATAAAGTATGTTTTCCATTTACTACTTCATGAGTTTTATGTACATTTACATCCTATAGTATAAATAATGCATCATTAAAATAAACAGTTCCTGATTCTCCAAGTATTGAAAAACAATATATATAAATATAACTTTTTAATGATCATAATACATCGTAAAACTCCTCTGTACTTCCTCTATACTGCAATGATGCAGAACCAACCCTCAGTGGGGCTCTCACTCTACGTCCTAAGGTAATATGTAAAAGTGTACATGTGCCAAAGTCAAAAGTGTATTTTAAACTAATATGAATATAACCAAATCAAAATAACAAGTCCTTAACTCTTCTCTGTCTTCAAAATGAACAGGAGTGATAAGGAAACCTACTTATACACTGGGAGGAAAAACAAAACCCTAAAACAGTTGGCACGTTTTGATGAAAATAAGGCACTCTCTAATTAATACAAAAGGAAGACAAATGACTCTTACAATAGATTGACCAGTTTACTTCTCTTTAGTCTCTTCGAAACTATTAAAGGTGTGGTTGCAACATGAGATTTCAATGTTTTAAAAACATTGCAGTTCGCAGGCAGGCCTTAGAGATGTACCAGTTTAAAATAATAAGGACACTAGGTAGAGGGGGACAAAAGGGCAAAAACTGGGACAGTCTGAATAGCATAAATAATGAAATACTTTTAAAAATAAAATAATGACAGTGTCCTACCATCTCAGTCACAACCCAGTCATTGGTTCTGTAAAAGCATAGGCTGCTAACTTTTAAAGCACATGCATGTTTGCTAAAGCACAGTCAGCAGACACTGTCTCAAGTCATATCTAAGCTTCAAGTTATGCCTTTGGAATTTGTACCTGTTTAAAAGCAAACAGAAAGAGAAACAGAAACAAACTATGTCGCAGACTATATTAATAGTATTTTAAATCTTATCTTAATAGCTAGTTTTTAATCTTTTAATCGGTAGTAATCAATATAAAATCTGCCAAGTGTATGCTTCTCTTTCCTCCCCAACATTTTTAATAAAACCAACTTTACAGTAAAATGTGTGCACATCATTTTTAACAGTTTTTCTTAGGGGTAGGAATGGAGGATATGTGTTGCATTTCAGTGGGAAGCTATTCAATTGTAAAGATATTAGAAATGAAAGCTGTTGAAATCAGGTAGATATTTTCTGTCTTGTGGGTCCTACTGATGGCCTGAAGAGTTAAGAGTGAAGACTAACTATACAAAAACACTAAAGGGCACGAGATCTTCTAAGAAGTATTTTTTCCACCTGTAAAAGACATATGGCTATCTGGCTTCATTCTTTTCATATTACAGGTCCCACGAGAGAAGGGAGAAAGCAAAATTGCTTCTGAGTCTGTGAAAGAAGAGGGGAGAGAAGGGAGAGAAAGAGTGAAGCTTAAGATACACTGAAAGAAACCCCGAGAAATTTCACAACTCTTTGCCATAAATAGTCTTTCTTCTCACTCGGGATACCTCCTCCTTGACATCAGCAAGGCTCAGCCTCCACGCACCGGGAGGCACCATTCACAAATCCCTCCGTCACCCCTTCCCGCACCCCTACCGCAGGATGCTACCGTGTGAGCCCGGAGAAACCAGCCAACAGATCAGAGGGCCCAAGGGGCCACCAGCGGTTTCGGCTCGGGACTGATTTTCTTTTCAGGTGAACCAACGCACAGATTAGTCGGCAGCGCGAACACACACGAAAGAGCGAACACACACGCACACACACTCCTCCCTGGAGCCCTTGACAAGCCACTACAAAGCAATTTGTTCACACTAAGTCGCCCTGCGCCGCCGGGGAGGGTCTCGCATCCAGTCCAGGAAGCTGGAGCCAGAGAACAAGCACGCAGGGGCTCCTGGTGGTCCCGGCTCGGGCTCCGCGGCTCCGGCCAGGAGCCCCGGGCTCCCCGCCCCCTCCCGCTCCCCGTCTACACCCCCGCCCCGGCGCCCGCTGCCGGTGGCCCCTACCTGCGGGACGCGGGTGGCGACGGAGAGGAGCGGCCGGAGCCTGCGCGAACTCTTGCCTCCTTGGCCAGCCGCACTCCGCATCGCCCCGGAGCGACGGCCGCGGCGCAGGGGAGCAGAGCGATCGGGGCACGGAGTGAAAGGCCACGCAGCGCGAGGAGAGTCACCGGCCGGCGGCGAGTCCGTCCGCCTCCCTCCCACTCCTCCCGCAAGGCCAGGTCCCCGCGCCACGCGAGCTGGGCCCACTCCCGGCGCCCCGGGCCTGGGCGGGGGCTGCTCCAGGGAGGCCCGAGCACGCCACCGTCACCTGCCGGGCGGTCATCCCCGCATCCGCTAGGGGTTGGCCCCAGAGCTGAGGCTACGCGTCGCGCGACCCTCCGGGCTCAGGGGCAGCAGGGGCGTTACTACCTTGAGGGCTCCGCACCGCCTGTTAAGGCTCTTCCCGGGCACTCCGGGTTTATGTCTTCGGGGCACTGGGGTGTCTTTCCTGGACCCCGTCCTCTGCCCTCCCTCCCCTTCTCGGCTGGGGGGTTCCTTCTCTCCACTCCCAGTTGCACAGAGTCCAGCTGCGTTATTTAATAATCCTCCTGCTTCTCTCGCCTGCGCCAGCAGAGCCGCTCTGCCTGAGCCACCGCTTCCCAGTCAGTCATGTTGTTGAGAGAGAGAGAGAGAGAGAGAGGCGGATTGGCAGTCGGTCGGCGACTATTTGTGGTGAGAGAGCGGGGAGCAGAGCGAGAGCAGGGCAGGGGAGGGCCGTGGGGAGGCGCTTCCAAGTGTGCGAGCGCGCGGAGTGCGACTGTGTGGGGAGCACGGGAGCCGCCTCCCGGGCACCCTGCGTTCCGACTGTGCGGAGGGCGGCGGCGAGCGCGGCCTTTATAGGGTTTGGTGGGGGGAGGGGCTGGGGCGGCACCAGGCCAACTGCACGCCGGTTTCCACGCGCGCATACTCACACGTTAACGCGCGCACACCCGCTGCTGGCCGGCTGCTGAGTTTTCATTTTAGGGGCAGCCGTATCCCGTGCTGACTTGGCTTTCCCCTTCGCCCATCCTTCCGCTTAAGTCGAGTCCAAGTGCAGAGGTAGGTCAACAGAGAATAAAAAGGGGAGCCTGAAGCTCGAGGAAGGACCCCGAGGATGCTGAAAATGCACTGGATCTTTTCTCTCCAAACCACTGATGTTGTGTTCTTTCCCTTTCTCCTCTCAGGGAGCAAAAGGAGAGGCTCTTTCTCCCCTTTTCACCGTCACCCAAGCTGCTAACATCCTGACAGTTCTCTCTTCCCTTCAGGACAGCTGGGAAAGAAACCTGGTTTCTCTCCTAAAAGCAGGTCACACCTTCCAGGAACCATTTACGGCAATAAATTTTTCTGTGGGATAATGGAAGCATTGGGACTGTGAACTGGTGTGGAACTTGGGGTCCTACACATCAGGTCTTGAACAACGTAGGATTACAAACAGAACCAGCTACCATGTTGATATCACTTGACGGATGGTCCCCTGGAGAAAATTTGCCCGTTTAGCGATGGAGAAGACTTCGAATACATGGTGCTGTTGCTTACGTAATTTACACTTTCCCTTGATTCTCCCTCCCATTGCACTGCCTCATTTCCTTTCACGTTTACACTGAGTCCTGAACTCTTTCCTATCTATACTCTTCTTTATCTCTACTCCTACGTATTTACTTCCTTATCAGATAGTACAGCAGATGGAATGCATTCAACTGTGTGTATGTGAAACATTTTTAACCCATTGTGTTGGCCTGTAGGACCATTTCCACATAGATAATACTCATATATCCCCAGTGTTCAGCTTATACACCTTACATCATCTCCCTTATTTCCTAACTAGTCTCTTGCCCAGATTACAAGATCTTTGTGATCTGGTGCATTGCTTTATTGGGAAACAGAGTCCAGTAACCAAGCAATCTATACTTCTTTCAAGTGTGTGTGCGTGTGTGTGTGCGCGCGCGCATTCTCTAATAATCTAACTGCCCATGATCTGACTTCAGAAATGTGCATCAATTGGGTGTAAAATAAAGGTTTATTTTTGAATGAATGTTAGTAGTTGATGTGCATTTTGGCATGAGGACAACCCTGCTTTGGTGGGGGACAGCAGACAACTGGTGGGATTTTTTTTAATAAGTGTGACAAATATTTAGGAGGCTGTAAGGTGGTGGAAATGTTGACAACTCAGTTATTATATCTTCTCTCCTTATAAGTCGCTCATGACCATGGCTATGTACCATGGCTATGTCTTTGGGTTTTTCATATGGATTTTTCTTTCCCCTAGTTCCTTTATGTATCATGTAAAGAGTTTAGAGTCTGAGTCCATTAAAAGTAGCTTAAACATATATCAATAATTCTAAGAAAAAGCAGCAAGTTGGGACCAGTGGACAAATACATCAATAACATATAAATATAGGACATAATAGCTTCTTTGATTATGCATTGGAAAATAGACACACTAACAAAGGATACTGGGATTTAATGTATGTATGCCTGCATTTTAAAGATATCATTTCTTCAATTTCACAGATCACAAAAGTTGGGTTTGGGGAGGAAAGTAAGTAGTTAATCTTAGGTCACAAACAGATCAAGTGAGGAAGCTGGAATTCAACCTTAGTCTGTCTTACTTTACAGTCCATACGGTTCAGAACTCCTGGGTTAGTTGAAAATTTAAATACTTTCTTTAGAGCTTTTGATAATCATGAAATAAACTGATCTACAATTTTTTGGCATTTTCCTTCTACCTTTTTTTTCTGTTGCAACAATTTTTTTACAAAATGTTCATTTCTAAGGGTTGGGAAAGGATTTAAGATGTCCTGACTACTTAGACTTATAGATGAAAAAAAGCTAGGAAATTTTCCTTCCAAGTCTTTACTAAAGGACCCCACTATCAATGCAAATGGACATTTTTAGAAAAGATATTCCTGATCTGAACATTTGTACTTACCAAATAAATACAAAAGGGAACCCAAAAACTGGAATTTATTTATAAAAATTGTGTATTTATTCTTAGATGTTTAATTTTCAGTCAGCTTCAAAGTACTCTCCTTTTGATGCAATGCACCAATAAAGACGTTTTTCCCCACTTCTCAAAATAGTTTTTGAACTCATTGATTCTGATGCATTTAATGCTTCTGCTGTTTTTTTGTTTCACCTCTTCCACCTGGGCAAAACTTTTCCCTTTAAGACACTTTTCATCCAGGGAAACCAAAAAAGTGACTGGGGTCAGGATCAGGTGAACAGGGAAGGTAGGGCACAGGGGTCATGCTGTTTTTGGTCAAAAACTGCTGAACACTCAGAGTGGTGTGGGCAGATGCGCTCGAAAATCACCCATCATGAAATGGGCAAACACATTGAGTCTTCAAAAAACAGTCACTCAAGCCAAACGCAACCTCTCACAACAATGCCAGCTTGTACTGAGACAGATCAGTTCCTAGAACACTCATTTAATGGGGGGAGGGGGGAGGGAAGCCTGTACTACAAGGGGCCCACCCTCTAGAAGATAATTCCAGTTTTGTGTATGTGTGTCCCTCATCGTATGTGGTTTATTTAAGAGCTATAAATAGATATATTTGTAAAGTTTTGTCCCTCTTTAAGAATGATGCTCAATTATATAGGGCAAGTTTTTATTGCTTTTATTGTTCTACTTCTCTAATTGTCATCTATAATGATAATTTAATAATGACTGTATATTGCATACTTCAAAATTACATATTAGACCAGATATTTCAAGGGCATTTTTGGTAACCACAACTGATGGTAATTTTCACACTCTCAATTGCATCCATAATTAGTGAGAACCATGACAATCTGTCCATTGCCTTTATTCATTAAAGTATTAAATAGAGCTAATTTTTCTCACTTAATTTTCTAACAATTTTGCTTGCCAAATAAAGTCTAGAGTATACATATACTAGACACAAAAAATATATAAAAATGTCACCTAAAACACACTTCTAACAAATTGATTCATTTTAATTATTTTGTATTTCTGTTAAAAAACTGTACTAGAAATCCCACTTATAAATTATAATAAACAATATTTTATAAGTAAATAAATTACTCTCTTTTAAGATTGTTTAATGTCCCATGTAGAATTTCTCACATTGCTACACTTTCAATGATCCAATTTTTGTTGTGATAGGAAAACAGAAAGTTAATGACTCTTTCCAGTTTGTTCATTTTCATCTCCTATGCCTGCTGCTGTTTGGCTCCCAAGTGCATTTAACTGGCAAGTTCAATGAAGATCTGGCATTGCACCACTTGATGAAAGCAGAAAATTAGGTTGCCAATTACATATGTGCCCCTTCTGTACGCTGAATTCCCACTGAAGTTATGAGCCAAATTAGAAATTCTTCAGTAGTGGTACCTAAAAAGTAAACTTGTGGCTAGGGAAAGTGAGGGAGATTTTTTTTCTTTGCAACCCTATTACTATAATGAAATTGGTAAGATGTTTTAGAAAGTGAATTAACTTTAAAACATTTGCAAACAATGTTTGCAGATGAAGTATCAGAAAATAAATTTTAAAGTTGCATTTCTTTTTTTCTCTCCTTGCTATTTCATAGTTGTATGATTTACTTCATACCCTATCAAGATTATACAGTCAGTATGAAGGCCATTTTTTCTCTTTGCTTTAGCTTAACAGTAAAAAACAAAAAAGAAATAAAAAAATAGGTGTGGTATTAACATTCTCGATTTCTTCCATATTACTACAGTGTAATTTATCATTTTGTAACGACAATGTAACGTGAAAACAGCATTATGTCTACCTTAAGAAGCAGAAGCCTGAAGCATGCACTGGTGAAAAAGTGTAGCATTTCTCAGCTGCAAATCAGGGGCCAGAGAGCATAGGAAAAACTGAATCTTAACATTGCATTAACTGGGACAGCATACTGTAGGCAGAACACAGTAGGTGGAAATTTAGATATGAGTTTTTTCCGAAACTTAGTTGTGGTAACTATACTTGATAAATTGTCTTTTTTTTTTTTTCAGGAGAAATTATGCCAAATGTCAGAATAGCAAGATCTATTCATGTTTTTGCTCTGGAGGAAACTAATAGTCTAGGCAAGTCAACTGACTGGGATTTCAAACAGGAATCTTTAGCCGAACCTAAGTCCAGGTGACTGGGTCAAAATATTCACTGCATCAGCTGTCTTTGATGTGGAATCCACACAGACACCAAGGACCTGTCCCATGGGACAAACATGGTAGCAAGACTATTAAGGTAAATATATGCCACTGTCCTTGTCACTGAACTACCAGGCTCCAAGTTTTAAAAGTGATCTAGTTCTAAGCCCATTTAATGGACTGAAAGAAAAAAAAAAAACAAAAAAAAAAAACAATGTGTGGAGAGGCATTGCTTACCCAGCAACTGAGGTAAACCTGAGTTTCCAGGGGAAACTCTCCAGTTCAGAGAGCTGAAAATAGTGGAAGGAGACCTGACTTCAGCGTTGATATTCTCTGAATTTACACCTGTCTATTTTTAATGGAAGTAAGCTGTACTAAAAATATTACCAAAAGAGTCTTTGTAACTAGATCCCCAATAATTTTATATGATTTTCTTGTTTTTGTTTCTATTTCCAATGTGGTTAATGAGGTCTTTGGAGAATGACCTCAGGATTTCTCACCTTCACATGAGGTAATCTGCATGTCTGAATACTTGTTTTCTCTGATGGCAATATTAAAAATATATCTAACTCAATTAATCAGTTCATTTGTTGAGTCTATGGGTTACATCTATCAAAGTGATTTTTTTAATTGGGTTTTTGAGTTATTCTATTATGGTTGTCCCCAGACATCTATGTGTTTGTAGTAATTTCCTTAAAA